TCCCACAAATCAGCTGAATCTGAATCCGAAGTGAATACTAGCAGCTTTGCACAGGCCTACTGCTTGGGGCCCCCCTCCCCATCCCTACCCCATACACTGGAGGTCTGGAGCCTGGGGGTGGGGACAGAAGGTTGGGAGTGAGGGCCACCAGCAGGGTTGGGGGGGGCATTTTCTACTTAAGCTACTTACTGGGTTGGGACTGGCCATCAGTTTCCAGATGGGTCCTAGTACAAAAAAGGTTAAGAACCACTGCCCTAGTGCAGTGATTCTCAACCAGGGTGCAGTGACACTCTGAGGTGCCTGGAGATCCTCTCAAGGGTGCTGTGGGATGCCACACAATGTTAGCACTGTTAGGTGCACAAACATGATACACAAGATAAACCCAGAGATTTCAAATCCATCCATCCATCTATAGTGTCAAAAGCTTTCTGACCTGTTGGGATCTTTCTGAGTTCTTTCCAACAGAAGAATTGCTCTGTTATTTTTCTGTGGTCAAAAAATGAATGAATACTAAGAGCTGGCATTTCCCGAGGGGGATGTTGAGCTTATCAAGGGGCTAAAAATGTTAAGAACAGCTGATCTAGTGGGTAGAGCATTCACCTATGGCACAGGAGACCTGGGTTCTAGGTCCCCTGACCTGTAGGAGATCTAAACCTAAGTCATCTGCTCATTCAGAAGAATCCCCTAAACACCATGCTATGGAAAAGGCTTGATGAGATTGGTCTTTACCCCTCCTGGTAAAGCTGGGCAACTGCACAATGAAAAGAAAAAAAAAAAAGAGGGAGTCAAGGGACCAGTAATAAGGAGCCGTCCTCTATAGTCTATCAGCAAGGATGCTCCCTTGGGAGGCTGAAATGTGGAGTGGGAATTCTGGGTCCTAATCACTGTTATTAGGTTTATTTCTGTTTTTAACTGGTGACTGTCTAATGTGCAATGTGTCAACAGTGCTGGGGCTCTGGGACGAGAGCTCAGGGTCCCCTTTCACAGAGGAGGGCTTTAAGCAGCATAACTACGGGGCTAAAAAGGCAGGCTTCCTCTTGCTTGAGGCAAAATCTGCAACCTGCCTCCCACCACATTGTGAATCACCCAGGACACAGCTTTCTCAGAAACTCTCTGAATCCCAGTTAACAGAGATGCCTGTGGGATAGCTTGAGAGGGATGGAGTTCAGAAATTTTCATTGGCTATCTTTAAGTGGGCTTTCTAAATTGCCCTTAGGAGGCACATCCCACTCCCTGTTTTCTTCATAGAGCACATAGATGTACATACCTGAATTGCTCCCAGGAATCTTTGAAGTCTCTGTACTGACTCTAGGAGGACAGAGTCATTCTGAATCTTCCACCTGGGACAGGTGTTCAAAAGCTAAGCAGGGCAGTGATGAAGCTGAGGCACTTACAGAGCCAATCTGAATCCTGCCCATGGTGTGGTGGTCTCAGTATAGACCTGCACGCCAGATCCCGTTGTACTCTAAGCCCAATTCCAAACAACCCTTTACAACAAGTTTAAAAATAACATTTAGAAACAAAGTTTAATGTGGGCATGCTGTGCTAGCACTATGTTATAAATGATAGTCTTGCCCAACTTCTTCCATAGGCTGAAACATACAGTCCAAAACAGAGGCTAGCACCAGCAATATTGAATGGTCAAACTACATCAAAGAGAGGCTTAACTGGAATTGTGTTTAAATGTAACACACTGGAAACCCAAATACAGATGGGACCCCTGATTTCTGACTGCTGGTTTAACATTCCTGTCTCCATGATTTAGCTTCCCCAGTATAAACTGGGGGAAAGAAATGACAAGGGAATCAGGCCATCTGTGAACTGTAGGAGCCTCTGTCTGCTGTATTTCTGAGGACAGCCTTTGAAAACTTACCCACCTCCAGCACGCTGGAAGGAGTGCTTTCTTTGCTTTCAGGGATGGAGGGGCAAAAAGCCTAACCATGCTCTGTAAACAAAATGGAACTTGGTAGCTGCCTACCACAAAATACTGTAAAATTAAAAAAATAAGGTCAGTTGGTGGACAAAAACAGTAATATAGTGTATTATACTTGGTTACTAAGATGCAAAGCATGGTTCTGAGTCTGTGTACAGGACACTGTACTGGATAATTGCATACTGTGTGCTGTAGGCATTTCTGTTTGAGTTAAATGAAAACAAATGTAGCAGATTGGAGCTGCGTACTTCAAAGATTTCTCACATTTGAATTTGAACAATTTAAAAGGTTGTCTGGTCATTAACAAGCTTTTTACGTTGTGTACCTTGATTGGTTGTGACCTTTACCATATGATCCAGCATTTTCCACTCTGAATGGCGTTTTGCCTCATGGTTCTTTTGACTGCCACTTGTCCAGCAGATAAGGAAATGGCACAATAGACGTTGTGCTGAATGGGGGTAAAGCAAATTACTCCAACTGATCCTCTTGTCCTTGCAGCTTTTAGTACACAGAGCTGCTGAGTAAAAGTGATGCTTAAACAAAATTCTGCTTCCAAGTTTCTCAAAGATGGAATTGAATTTCTGTCTACTCTTGTCACACTCACTTAACAGCTATTTGTACTGAGAGGTGACCTTGAACTGTAACTACTTAACACCTGGTTTTTCTTTCTGTTTTTTTTTTCCTTTTGTCTTGTAAGGGTCCTTTGTAATAGAATCCTCTCTGTGAGAGTCCAAATCATATTCAGTGGTAGGTGCATAGGGCAAAGGGGCTGAAAAATTGCCCTACAACGGGGGAATAATGGGCTGTGTATCTATCTCTGTATCCCTGTTCCATCCAGCTGTTAGCATGCAGTGTGCCTCCACTCCAGAAATGCCAAACTGGCATAATGAGCCCAAGAAGTTTTTACCAGCTAGCACAAATCATAGTGGTTAAAGCTATTTGCACTAGAAGCTGAATCAGTCTCCAGGAGCCTAGGGGAAGGCATAGGTGTACACTTACCCCATTAGGCTCTGCTTTGACTTTAGCTCAGCTGGACTTAAGGACTGGGTTTTTAACTGATATTTGCTTCTTGTCTTCCACTAGCAGATTTGTAGAGATATGAGAAATGTAAGTGGACTAGGAACAGTGGCTTTAGAGGATCTGACTGAATTCTGATCCAGGTATATGTCTTGTAATGCAGAGTTCATTATATATCCTATTTATAGCATCCCAACATTTTCATGAAAAACATTAAAATAGCTCTTGCATGGCCAATAGCTCTTGCATTGCCTTCTAACAATTTGTTCTGAGCAGAAGATGAGCTGTGTTCTAGCAAGTCTGAATAGCTTTTCTCTGACTGGTCCTACACAGTCCAAAAAAGACTGCAGAAACCCCAGACACACTAGTAGCACTAAGCTTTGTTGTCGTGCACATAGCCAGCATTATAGCACCTATACATTTTTGAGGGAGAGATGTTCATTTGTGAATGCAATCAGTGTTAGATGCCTCTTTGTTTTTTCTATTCTTTTAGTAACTGACATTAGGAATTCCCTTCTACCTACACCCACCCCTCTACACTCAAACTAATGCCTGCAATGTCATATCCTTTTGTGCTGCTGTCTAATCTTGCAAGCTAACCTGGGCCCATATATTGGGCTGGCTCACTGAGTTGCATGTGACTGATATTTCCAAGGCCTGTTAATGGGCTTAAGGAAATGGCGTTAGTTAAGAAGGGAGGGAGTGACAACCACCCTCCCATCTGTCCTGCACCCTCCTTCTTTATCAATGGAGCTCTTGCTGTGAAGAAGCAGAAGTTAGATTTCTCTGCCCTTCTTCCCCCAATTTTTAGTTCATTATGCACTAGCATATTTTTTGACATTTGCTATTTCTTCTACATAATTCCACAATAGGCAAATTCGCAGAAGGAAAACAGTGTGAAATGCTTTTTGAGTTTGCAACAAATATTTATTTAATAAAATGAATGGCACCGTCAAAATGTAGATATATATTGCAAATGTGTCAGTAGTAGGTTTCTAAAATGACATCAACATCAAAATTAAGGCAGGAGACTCTTGAATTTTCATGCAAGGGCATATTCAAATGTCCCTTTATCCAGCCCCTCGACTTCATCTTCCCAAGTAGAGGAAGGCATGCTACTATACGGATCCAGCAAGATTTTGAAGCATCTGATGATAAGAAGTCCCAAGAAAATACATAAAATCCCTACAAAGGCAAAGCCAGTTTTTTGTTCTAAAGTCAGCGGGAAGGCAGACACCTCGTTGACACTCATAGTGGCTGATGAGTTGCTGCAGTAGTTACTGCTCATCATTGGGCATCACATCCTGGTGAACCTTTGGTATTTTCACCTCTATAACTTCTTTGCCTATGCACAAATTAGAATTGATTTGGTTATGGCCCAAGGTGACACAGGTGTCTGAGTTACAGCACATGAAAACCTTTAAAACAAAAACTACCTGGATGTCGATACTGAAAGTACAGTCTTTACACCCAAATCAGCCTAGAAAAGCTGTTGTTAGAACGTGGCGATCCCTACATAAAATCTGCTTGGAACTCCCAGCTAAGACAATAAAAAAAACGGATCATTTATTTGCTTGCCTTTCTCCCCCAAGATAAAAAATGTCCGGCCTGGGGAAGTGGAATTTTTGCAAGATCCTTCTAAAGAGAAAATTATCAAATGGGACAAAGCCTTTCAGTTTTTATCAGACAACAGCTTGCAAGGCCTCCATCTGTAAAGGTACATGGAAATGTTTATGCCTGAAGGGCTTGCAGGATGGGTATCTTAGTCCTTAAACTGGAGAAACAGTCATAAGTGTATTGTGGGATAGCTTATCATTTGTGCTCCATTGTGCACCCCTAAATCACCTGTACATGTGACCAGCTGAACTCATAACTGCTACCTCATTGTCTGTCAGAAGTGCTGATTGCAAACTAGTGTACTTTTTTGAATGCCCATACTTGAGTGAATGTTGTTTGCTAAATGATAAACATTAGGATCTGGCAAGGGGGACAGACTGTTGAAAGATACATTCAGACTGGCAAGATGGGCCATTTTGATAATGTTCCAGCCATGTGCTAGCTCCCAAGGGTACACACTGTCTTTGTCCCCACCAAGCTAAAATTAGAAATCTCTATATCCATTAGCGTATGGAGAATGTTAATGGGAGAAGAGATAATACAAATCCTTCTCCCTGCCCTTTCCCCCCATCATTAGGCTCTTCTCCCTATTCTTCCTTTCAAAATGTGGCTGTTACCCAAGACACTGATGTCCTAGACCTCCTAAAATTTTCATTGCAACAGTTCCCTTGTTGCTCATATGTAACACAGAGAGGGCCCGATCCTACTTTCTTGGTCAAAGGACCTACTGATTTCATGGAAGTGTGGTAATGCAGAAGAGCCAAAATTCATAGGATCAAACTGCAGTAGTCTTTGGTATAAATGTTCTAGTTCGGAGAGGAAGGATAGGGGAGACACTTCCTCCTTTCTGGGGCACTTAACGGTAGAAGGAAGCCATTCGGCAACCTTCGCTCTGTGAGGGTAGAGTGGGGAGGGAACAAAAGCTGTAAGGGAAGGCCAGGCAGTTTGCATGCACTGAGTAGCAAAACCTTCACAGCACTGGGCACTCACCAACAAGCAAACGTGAGACAGAGAGCCCCAGTGGTGCTGAGCACATTGTGGGAATGCACCAAATCAGCTATGTTACAGTTTTTCAGCAGCTGGTGCATGTGGAGCAGGAGGGAGAAGGCAGACTGTTTCATGGCAGCGCTCCTTTGTATGGTCTGAAGTGAGAAGCTGTTTTTGTTAAAAATTCAACATTCTTTCTCCAAAAAAAAGCTCCCATTATGTGAGCTTGAATCATTCATACTCAGATAGTTCACAACCTACCTAATGCACAGTGGGTGGCCAAATGAAGGATGAGCCACCTAGCTGTTTGCTACAGCTTTACTCCAAAGGGCACCACTCCATCAATCAGCTGGGGCTCATCAGTGTTTGCTATGGATCTGCATTCCCCCTGGACACTTCACAAACTCTTGTCTTCACAAAGGGTTTGGGAACCTAATGCTGGGAAGTATCTGGGTTCTACTGTGTTATACATGTACTTCTTAGCCAGGTGAATTAGTCTATGCCAGTCTCTGTGTTGCTGGGGCTATATGGCTACTAGTATCCGAGCTCACTAGTTTAAAGCTAGCTCAGGTATCTTTCCACTTCAATGAGTATGCTGCCGTGACCGCAGTGCAGATGTACCCTGGGTTATCTTAGAAGTCCTGCAGCAAAAGAAAGATAAAATGACACCTGCCATCCCTGATATCTTTGTGAAAGAAAGAAAAATGGTAGAAAACATTCTCTTTTTTTCCTGTTTGGCCCTCCTCTTCCCTCCTCAGAATGTCAGGTTTTTCCTTTGCATGCAACCAAAAGCAGAAAAGAGGTGGGGAGAAGGAAAAGGGGCTGCGCCAGATTGTCACTCTCGTGTAAGTTTGTGACACCAGTGACTTACCTCCCCCACTGAGGATCTAGGTCTGACATTTGAACCCGGATTGACGACTGAAGAACGCTGGTTTAAGGCTCTCTTGCACCAGCTCCTTCCTGTCTGACTCCCAGTGCGCATTGTTCAGATGCAAATTAAGTCCTAACATTCAAGCCATGACAGACTTGCTCATATTGAGAAATACCTCACTCTTTGAGTCTTGTGGTCAAAACAACTAGTATGACTCAAAAAAATGATACTAATCGGTTAGAGGACAAGTTGCAGTTAAGGCCTGTAGTAACTAAATAATTGAACAGAGGTAATTTATACTTATTTGCTGCAAACACATAATAGATAATGTAATAGATTAAGCCACCTGCTACCAAGTTGTCATGTAAAGCACGTTTCCAGTTTTTTCCAGACCTTTTTACCAGCTGTAGAAATTGGTGAAGGAAAAGCACAGAATGCTCAAGTTCTTGCACAAATCAGTTGAGATTTAACTGGATCCAGTCAAGAAAAAACTTCTCCTTCCAGAAGTCCAAGGGCACTGGAAAATTAAAAGGAAAAAAAAGAGGCTTATCCTGAGATATGAATTGTATACCATAGCAGGATGACACAGTGCCAGAATGAAAAACCACAGCCCTGAAAGACATATGCACAGAAATCTTGGAGACAAATTTTGGCCCCAGCTCAGCAATTAGATGGTCCTTGTAAAGCTCACAAAAACCTGTGGGGCTCTACATGGATATAGAGATTTGTATTCTCTTCAGTTACTGTGGTAAGATTACCTCCCACAGAAGTCAATGGGAGTTTTTCTTGAGCAAAGAGTACAGAAGCAGTTTATACGTTTGGGTGGAGGAGGACAGTATAAAAATAGAAACAAATAGAGAAACAACATTAGTTGTCATCAGAAGCTCTGATGACTCCATATTTCAGGAACAAAGCAGTCCTGTACATCATGCATATCACCAAACAAGTATTGTGCTCCGGATCCTATTGGTTTAATAATGTAAAACTAAATTTGGGGCTAAATTCTCCCACTATCACACACAGTTTTTGTCCTTTGGTGTTTGCTCTATGCTTGTTATTAGTGCACAGTGATATTTTACTTATATTTTTCAATTATTGTCACCAGGAATTATGGGTCAAATCGTCAACATGCAAAGCCTGGATATATGGGCACTGAGTGCAAGGAAATACTTCTGAGTTTGAGGAATAGAATCAGCCCTGAGGGTACAACTGGACAGGTAGAGAAATAGTTTCCATTTCCTGTGCAAGGGCTTTGGGGCTGTGAATCCTTTGCAAGGCTCTTTCCTCTTCTTCTCTTCCTCCTTCTTTGCAGCAGAATTTGTGTGTCAGCCCTTGCATGTTTGCAGATGGTAGTAGAAGATTTGGCACTAAATATGGACCTGCTAATAGCAAGATTATACTTGTTTGTTTCTGCATTTCAAATCTGTTTGCAGATCAGTGGTAATTGAAGGTTGCAGCCACCAGTTATGCATATGTTATGTCAGTTGCTCTCAAATTATATGTAAAATCATGAGCAAGGAGACCATTGATGCTACAGGAGCTGAATGTAATGCTAGGGACATAGGCAGGAAGATGTCACTGCCATTATATTACTGTACCGTAAACATACCTGAACTATCTATAAACTAGTCATCTTGGATCCTGGAACTAGTGTAGCCACAGCAGCACAGGACTCAGGGTGACCTTGTTGCCTTCATCTTTACTCTGCTTCTTGAGCAGTTTTGCAGTCTGTACTGAGCTCTGTTACTGCTGCTCTAGACAGCTACCAATAACTGAGCTAGGTAGGTTGAAGTGAACTTGGGTATCTGTACTATAAAGTTACAATACTATGGAGTCACAGCAGTGACTGCAGTATAAAAAACACCTTGGGATAGAGTTCAGGAGACCAGCAAGACCTGAACTAGAAGTTCTACAGTCTGTTTCTCTGGGTTGTCAACCCTGTTACCTCTACTTGTTCTCCTGGAGTCCAGGCTCTCCAGTTCACTTCTGTGAAGTCTCAGCTTATGGCCCCACAAAAGCCTTTTACTTATGGCAAGCAAAGATCCTTCAATATCCTGCAGTGGGGAGAAAGGCCACCCGATGCCCATCGGAGAGCAGAAAGGACCAGTAGGACCCAGAGTGTGGCAGACATCTCAGCCCCATGGATTATAAAGGTAAGCAGAGAGAGAAAAGCAGCTGAGTTTGCTGCCGATGGGACTGGTACACCTAAGGAGGACAAGGGCTAGTACATGTAAATGCTGTGTGCAAACTTAGATAGGGTAGCAGATAAGTTGAAGTGCTTAAGAATATTGTAACAGTATCCATACCTGCCATGAAGTTCCCTGAGGATCCCAAACCCTGGTTAATGGGTGGTTTTACAGTTTCGAAAGTAAGCTTTTCCTCAAGCCAAATCACCATCCCTACATTGTTAAGCTTTGTTTAAATTTTATATTTATTCTTGAGAAAGGAATGAGAAGTGACGAATGTTGGGGCATCTTCATATTACTCTTAGAGAAAACATAGCAGGTTTTATTGTAGCCTGCCATGTATGGAGCCAATCCTGAGAGATGCTTGGCATTTTTAATTGTGGAAATCCTCAGGAGCTGGATGTATGCAGCCCCTTGAATGAGTAATCTGCAAGTGATTGAGAAATTGCATTTTGTCCTCCAGTCTATGTTAAAAATATTCTGGTGACACTTGTAACTCATGAGTTTTCCATAAACAAACTACAGATCACTCCTGCTGTCACTGCTATCCAAACAGCTCTCCTCCAGGAAGTGCTGCAAGCCCGGCTGCTGGTCCAGTCATTCTGGTAAGGCATCAGATGACCTGGATTCCTGGTCACTTCTAAGAGATGATGGACCACATTTTTAAAGCAATTATTGTGACTAAGGATGTAGACAGACACCCAAAGGGATTTTTCAAATGCATCTGATTGTTTCAAATTGTCTTAGTCACTGAAACACCTGGCCAGCGTGCTAGAATGACATCTCCGTGGCTGGCTCTGGCCTGCTGGCTGGATCTTTGACAGTCCTGCCATAGGAGACGGAAAGGATGGGTGAAACCTCGAAAAGTTTCTCCCCAGTAAAAAAAAATACTTGGAGGTTTATTCGAAGTATCGGGACCGCCTGGGTTGACAACACTGGGCTGGAAATGACAAGTAGCAGCCAACCTGATTTCACCAATTTGTATCCTACATACTTGTATTCCCTCAGCTGCTGGGCAAGTGCTAGCTTTGCCTTCCCACCCTAGAGTGAGGGGGCCAAACTCTCAGGCCAGGGGGCAGTGCTGGTCCCACAGCGGGTGGTTAGGAGCATCGCAGGAGCCGGCCCGGCCTGCAGCAGGGAAGGGCGCTGCAAGCTCCAGCCCCGTCTGGGTGAAGACGGGCTTTGCCCCCGCAGCAAGGCCGGGAGCGGCACCTCTGCCGCGCCCGAGGACGCGTGCCCGAGCCGCAGCGCCAGGAGCAAGGCTCGGCGACCCCCGCCCGCGCGAGCCTCCGCAAAGCAATTGTTGCTCGCGGCTCCTCTCTGCCGCCCTCTCCCAGCGCCGCACACGCGCGGCCCCACCTCGAGCGACTTACAGCCAGCTTCACGGTGCGGGGGGCACACAACCCGCCGTCAGTCCTGCCGCCTCGTCTTCGCGGGAGCAGCTGCAGCGGCCCCGGCCCCGGCCACACACACCCCGCTGCCCGGGGTCCGCCTGGCTCGGCTCCGCCGGCCGCTTGGGGGCTCCTTTCCCAGCTCCTCGGCTGGAAAAAGCCGTCTGGAGCTGCCTTGAACCCCCGCCCCTTCATTACCATCCCCGCTCGGATCAGACCCGCGGAGACTGCCGCTGCTACGTGCCGGGCATCCCCAAGCCGCCGCCGCCGCCGCCGCCGCCGCGCTGGGCCCTGCGCCCCTTGCCACGCACGGCTCGGGACGGCGGCA